TGCAGCATAGACTGATAAGAACTTTTCGTTACTGGATTGTGAATTCAAATTGCACAAAATTAAAAATAATTAATATTTATTAATATTTTAATAATGTTTCAGAAATATTAAAATATAATACCTAGGTTTATTATATAAGTGGACATATAACCTCTATAGAATACTCCTGTAATATTAAACAAATATTTATGATATTTTCGAAATGTTATAATAACATTATTTTAATTTTTTTTTTAATAATATTCATGTAACATTCCAGGAACATTTTGCGCTTATAGGGTGTAAGCTTATTGGCTACCGCGTCACATTTTGCCGCACGGCAAACGTTTCCGCGTCCAGTGTGCAGGAACCATAATGCATCTTGTGGCGTCTTGCGCTTCATACACAATTCGGAACACACCTCGGACTCAATGAGCGATATCCAATAAGAGCTTTGCTTTGCGTCGTTACGTGAGAAAAAGCAGAGCTTTCATTGGATATCGCTCATCGCGTCCAATGTCATCCAATGTGCAGTAGGTTTTAGAGAGTGGTTGTCGTTCTGAATCTGTTCCGAATGCATTTGGTGCTTTACATGAAACGAAAGTGAGGTTATGTTAAGTTCATGTTTTGACCTCACTGATCGTTCTTATATCATTTTAATATGCTCTTTTATAGGAAAAAACGAGTTTTGGATCCGAATGCAAAAATGTCATGGAAAATTCGCTGAAAATAAAGAAATACAGAAGCAAGGCGAAATTCACGGATGGTCAGCGGAATGAGTTAATACGGATGTTTGAGAGGACTTCGCAACCTAATAAAGAAAAAAAGAGAATTTTATATTCAAAGAATAAGATTGTAAACAAGTGTGATTCACATGTGATTTATAAAAAGAAAATTTAATTTGAAGAAGCAAATCACTTTGTCAAGGTGTAGTCACGTATGTTTGCTTTACGCGATTTTGTTTTGCTGCCTGGAAATTAACAGTTTAACAATAAAAATTCTGTAATATTTTATGCTCTCGCTGACTTTTAGTAAACCCACGTCAAGACACTTCATTAAAACAGAGTGTAATTGTGATTAGATCTTGTAACATAAATTAAGTTGGATGGCACATCAAAATTTCTTTTCTAATGAAATATATATTATGAAACTAAATATATAAACATATACTAGAATACCGGCTTCGATAATCTAAAGGCCTAGGACAGAATACAAGAGATCGACTCCCGGCCGGGGTAATATTTTTTGCAATAAATTTATTTATAGTTTTTCAGCACATTAACATCTTTCTAATACAATGTACGGTCTAAAATAAGATTCTTATTGTATATACTAGAATAGTTCCTTTTATTATTTTTAATATGCTCTCTTTTTAGAAAAAATGGATTCTGAATTTGATCGCACAAGTGAAACGGAAATGCCGCTGAATGAAGCATGGAACAGTAGAAGAATATTCACGGATGATCAGCGGAACGAGTTAGTAAAGGTGTTTGAGGAAACTCCATACCCTAAAAGAAATAAACTGGAAGAACTAGCTCAGAGAATGAGAGTGTCAATCGATAGTGTTAGAAAATGGTTTCAGAGTACTAGAACATATAATCCAAACAAACCTATGCCTTCGTTGTCGTGTGATCATCACGTAAGATCATTTTGTCCTAAAAGTTATATTTTGCTGTTCGAAAGCCAATAGTTATAACCAAACCCAGAACTATGTTGTAACAAACGAAACACTTGCCTTATGTAAAAGCAAAATGCAAAAATGGTCACATAATTTGTGTTTTAATTCATTTGCTACCAACGCACGATAACTATACTTACTTGCCTCTTTTGTTGAGCGCTCGTTGTGTATTAAATAAAAATGAAATATATGTAAGAATATAAATGTTGATATATATATATAATTGACAATTTTGTGACTATCAAACCATGAAAAGTATTACATTAAATGAAAAATACAATTTCCATGAATTATACGATAACTAATATTATTTATAAATTACACACTACAATACATATACACTATGATTTTGCTATGATTTTAGCAACTATGTTTTGTTCGCTTGTAACATATATACTAGTATAATATCTTTTTTATTTTTAATGTGTTTTTATTATAGGAAACAAAGGATTCTAAATCCGATTGCAAAAGCAAAAAGGAAAAACCGTTGAAAATAGCGGTGCGCTGTAGGAAATTCACGGTTGGTCAGCGAAATGAGTTAATGCGAGTATTAGAGGAAACTCGATATCCTGATAGAAGAAAAATGATGGAACTAGCTGAAAGGATGAGAGTGTCATTTCACAAAATTAGTATGTGGTTCCGGAATACTAGAAGAATTAAACCTAGAACTAAACCGAGCCAAGCTATGTCTTCGTCGACGCATAATCGTCAAGTATGTCGATCATTGTATGATTTTACGCGTTTTTTTACTGTTTGAAAGTTAATAGTTATAACCAGACCGAAAACTAGGTTGTGGCGAACGAGGCATATGTAAAAAATTTGGAAGAATGCAAAAACGGCAACATAAATTTCTGATTTAATTCATTCCAACGCGGTGACTATCCTTTCCTGCCATTAAACACTCGTTACATATATTACATGACAACAAAATATATGTAGAGATATAAATTTTGATAAAATAATTAACAATTTTGACGTGGCTATCAAAACACGAAAATTACTTTAAATGAAAAATATATTTTCTATGAATTTTTTTATAACTAATATTATCTGTTATACTTATAGATGTTATACACTACGCAATATGTATAGAAACTCTTTTACTGTGACTTCAGTAATTATGCTTTGTTTGTTTGTAACATACATATATAAGTTACTTGCTTGCTTATAACATATTTATACATGTGATTATGTTCCTATTAAATATTATTAGTACTAAATTAATATTAAATATCACTAATTAATATTTTTTATTATATTTTACATTTGTACATGAAATATTTTTTGTTACTGAAGAGGTGCATGATCCTCTTTTGCCATGGCGTTGAAATTTCTATCCGGTCCTGGTCATAACAATAAAATTCTTGTAATTATTTTATTTTCTTGCTTCAGAAAACTAACGATATTTTCAATTATTAAAAGAGATTGTGATTGTGGTTAGATCTTGCGTCACGATATAAATTAAGACGGCGGAGCAGCGTTTAATATTTATACAATTTCTTTTCCAATGACAAATATTATATTGTTTATTACGAGACTTTAATATATAAATATACATTATGTAAAAATGAATTTTTAGTACAAAAATGAAAATAAGAGGTACAACCTCCAAATGGCCTTGATCTTGACAAATGTTATCCAGGACATGATCCTGAACAACATTCAAGAGGTTTTAACCTTCGATCGGACAACTTGCGTAATGCTAATGCCGACTGTACTGTAACTGTCGAGCCTTATAACTCGAAAAATACTTAATGAAAAATATTTTATTATAGTGTTTTTTGAAAAGATCTCGAAGTAAGCTACAAGAAAATGTAAAGAAAAATAGGGGGTTTCATTTAAAAAAAGTCAACGTGAACTTGACCTGGCCTTGGCGACACCACCCAAGGTCAAATCAATGATACCTTCTTATGTCTCCCTCCGAACCATACAACCTTTGTTTGAAACATTTTTTCGTATCTACCACAGTTTTCGAAAAATCTTAATGCATTATTTAAAATGAGACACCCTGTATATAATTATAATTTTTTTATTTTTAATGTGGTTTTGTTGTAGAAAACAGTGAGTTCTGAATCCGATTGCAAAACCAAGAAGAAAAAGCCGCAGCCGTTGAAAATAATGTCGCGCCGCAGGAGATTCACGGTTGATCAGCGGAACGAGTTAATACGGGTATTAGAGGAAACTCGATATCCTGGTAAAAGAAAAATGGTAGAGCTAGCACAAAAGATGGGAGTGTCATCCCCCAATATCAGTACGTGGTTCCGGAATAAAAGAAGAACTCAACGGAACAAACAACTTGTGTTTTCGTCGACGTGTGATCGTCAAGTATGATCGTTTTACGCGATTTTGTTTTGCTGTTTGAAAGCTAATAGTTATAACCAGACCAGAATTATGTTGTGTAGCGACAAGGCACTTACTTCATGTAAAAAATTTAGAGGGATGCAAAAATGGCAACATAAATTTCTGATTTAATTCATTCGCTATCAACGCGCGCGGTGATTATACTTTTCTGCCGTTGTGTATTACATAAAAACGAAATATATGTAAGGATAAAAATGTTGATATAAAACCGGTAATTTTGTGGTTATCAAAATATGAAGAGTATCACCTGAAATGAGAGGATTAGGCTCTCTATAAATTTTTACGATAGCTAATATTATCTATTATACATGAGTATTAAGTGCCACTATAATTAATAATAATTTTAATAAATACTATATAAACACTATATTATATATACTATAAACACTATGATTATAATAAATTTTTTATTTCAACTATTATATTTTATACTCGTAAAAGAAATTTTTTTTTATTACTGAGGAGGTGCATGTTTTTCTTTTGCCTAGGCGCCGAAAAGTCTAATCCTGTCTCTGGTTATGTCAACAATATTCTTGTAATTACTTTATTCTTTTGCTACGTTCAATGATATTTCTAATTATTAAAAGAAATTGTAATTGTGATTAGATCTTGTGCCATAACACAAATTAAGTTAGATGACAGAGTAGCATTTAATGCTTATGCAATTTCTTTCCCAATGAAGTATTACATCGTATATTACGAGATTCTAATATATGTACTAGTATAATTTCTTTTTTTATTTTTAATGTGCTTTTGTTGTAGGAAACAGTGTGTCCTGAATCCGTTTGCAAAAGCGGAAAGAAAAAGCCACTGAAAATAGCATCGTGTAGAAAGAGATTCACGGTTGATCAGCGGAAAGAGTTAATACAGGTGTTCGAGGAAACTCCATATCCTACAAGAAATAAAATGGAAGAACTAGGCCAGAGAATGGGAGCGTCTTTTCACAGTATTACAAAATGGTTCCAGAATACTAGGACATATAATCCGCACAAACTTAAGCTTTCGTCGTCACATGAACATCACGTACGATTTTTTTGCCCGGTTATATTATGCTGATGTGATTTGAAAGCTAATAGTTATAACTAAATCCAGAATTTTTTTGTTGTAGAAAACAGTGGATTCTGACTCCAATTACAGATGCGGAACGATAAACCCGCTGAAAACAGCGTCGTGCAGGACATTCACGGATGATGAACGGAGCGAGTTAGTACGTGTGTTTGAGAAAACTCCATGTCTTAGAAGAAATAAATTGGAAAAATTAGCTCTGAAGATGGGAGTGCCATTCCACAATATTAATTCATGGTTCAAGAATACTAGAAGATATAATCGGGTAATTACTCGGAATGATTATGTTCTTGATTATGTTGTCAAAGTCATGGCCATGAGTGACTTCAAAAGATCTTAGGTGGTAGTCACTGGTCCTTACAAAAATTATTGACAAAAATAAAAAAAAAATGTTTCTGCTATACACAACAATAAATACACTCGCCCTTAACAAGGGGAATGTGGGGTGGACCTTGCTTCGCGTAGAAAGTCATTACGTAAACAAGTAAAATAGGGTAATCCTTAATATTGTATATAACAGAATTAAGATTATTTTTTGAACTTTTTTTGTCAATTTTTTAACGACCAGCGATTGCCACCTTATGAAGATCATACACAGTCATATGACGATATATATCAAAGTCAAGGTCATCGACGTGGTACGTGGTGTCTTTTAAACTGAATAATTGCCTATAATTGAAACAAAGTTATACTTTTGTCGCCGTGTTGATTATCATATATGATCATTTTGCTCGGTTTTGCTGTTTGAAAGCTAATAGTTATAATTAGAGTCACTCTAGTAAGGGCCACTGTCACCAAGCTCAGTTAACTTAACTGGCCAGTTAGTCCATCGGAATTGACCAATCGCATTTGTCATTTTGTTTGAAGCAAACAATACTAAGTTGTTAGCCTAATATCCAATCTCCAGTCTGGAGGATCCATACATATGTTCCACTGATGTATGGGACCTACAGTTAAACGCCGGATCCAAACGGCGCTGATAATTAAAGATCTCTTAATTACCAGATGGAGTCATTTTCGGCTCCTTAAACGCGAAAAATCGTGTGGGCGCAGGTGGGATTGAACTCGGACCGGATCTACAGATCGCGAATTAATCGCACCGAGCGGCAAACCACTCGACGCCTAAATTATTTTATTTATTTGCCGTCGAAAAGCAACGATATTGCTAATAATTAAAAGAGATTGTAATTGTTGTAATTAGATTTTGTCACAACATAAATTAAATTGAACGGTAGAGCAGAGCTAGTTTAACATTTATATAATTTCTTTTTTGACGCTAGATATTGTGTAGTACGAGATTCTAATATATATAAATATGTACTAGTATAATCTTTTATTATTTTTTATGTGCTTTTTTTGCAGGAAAAGGTGGGTTCTGATCCAATTTCAAAATAGGAATGTGCGATTCGTTTGTTGAAAATCAATCTTTGATCTGATCTCGGATTGCAGCAGAATTCATCACAAATCGCATTAAAAAGAACGATTTTTTGAAGATACATTTAGCAAAATCTATTTATACAGTAAAATCAAAGTTGGCAAGAAATAATGCGCGCGTTCAAGTCAATAAAGCGGCTAGCCTGCTTGCCGAGCAAAATTGTTACTTATAGATTCAATCAATTACATTCAATCACTCGGCGAACAGGCTAGCAGCTTTGTCCGCGTTCAATGTTTTTTTTAAAGAACAAAATATTTTATTTTTTAAAAACATGTTTTTAATGTTTTAAATATGTCTCAAATAGTATTTTAAAAAACATGTTTAAAATATGTTAAAAGCATTGATTTTACATGTTTTAAACATCCCAATTAGCAAACTTGAAAAGCGCTAAAACTTTTTTAGTGTTTTTTAAATGCTTGTAGGCGCTATGTGCTACTTAGGATATTTTGAACAAGATTTTTACCAATCCTGCATAAAATATTCATTGAGGAGAGACTTAATAACCACTGTTATTATTACCCAGTAAGCAAAAAATCATTATTAGGATGTTATTACAAGGATAATATTTAATAATATGCACGTTTTTTAACGTGTTGTATTTAGTTGAATACAATATCATTTTGAACAGACTGTGACACTGATTTAGAGGTTTCTATAATGTTGATACGTTTAATGGTTCGGAAATATTATATTATTAGATAATATTATAATCATATTTATAAAATAATTAGACGAAAATGTTGATGAAATTTGTATAAAATCAATATTTCAAAGTGTTGATCTTACATTTCTTGCTTACTGGGTAAGAGCCATGGCAGAAAAGCAGCAAGATATAAACAGTAAAGAAATCAACATATTGCACTTGCTACTACTTACGTTAAGATTTTATGGTTTCTATTGTAAATAGGCCAATTCGTACGGCTTTTAAATTCTACTGCATAATCAGGCATTTGGTAGTATTTTCGAACGTGTTCCTATCGAGAAAAATCAGAGATTAATTCATTCCTAAAACAAGCGATTTACAATAAAAGTGCAAAGAAGGAGATTAATTAAAAAACCCGATTTTTTGTGTTCAAAAGATCGATCTTTTGAAAGGTCGAATCAAGATCGAACATTCCTATTGCAAAAGCGAGATGACAAAGCCGGTGAAAACAGCGTCGCGCAGCAAAAGGAAATTCACGGATGATCAGCGGAACGAGTTAGCACTGGTGCTTAAGGAAACACCATATCCCAGAAGAAATAAAATGGACGAATTAGCCCAGAAGATGGGAGTGTCATTCCACAATATCAATCTGTTGCTCCGGAATATTAGAAGATCTAAGCTGACGAACTTAACAACAACTTGAACAAACTTAAGTCTTCGTCGTCGCATGATCATCACGTATGATCGTTTTGCCCGGTTTTGTTTTGCTGTTTGACAACTAATAGTTATAATCAGACCAGGGATTGAGTTGTGGCGGGTTGGATCGAGGCACTTGTCTCATGCAAAAAATTTCGAAGGAAGCAAAAATGTCAATATAAATTTCTGTTTTACTGTATTCGTTACCAACGGTGACTATACTTACTCGTGTATTACACGAAAACGAAATACGCATATAAGAATATAAATTTTTGGGAAGATAATTGATAATTTTGTGGCTAAACTGAAGCACGAAAAGTATTACTTTAAATGAAAAATATATTTTCCATAAATTTTTACAATAATTAACATTATCTGTTATATAAATATTATATAAATATTAAATACTATACAATATACATATACACTCTGATTTTATTTTTGATTTTAGTAACTATGTTTTTATCGCTTGTAACATACATGTATATGTAAACTGCATATTTGTAATATATAATTTCATACATGTGACTATGTTCCTATTAAATAATGTTACTATTAAATTAATATTAAGTACCACTGAATAATATTATTTTTTATTATATTTTTCACACCTGCACCGTAAAGAAAATATTTTTTTGCTTCTGAGAGATCGTATTTTTTTGCCTCATTATTGAAGCATCTAATCCCAGCTCTGATTATAACAATAAAAGTTTTATTATTATTTTATTCTCTTGCCATCCTTAAGAAAATCAATGTGAATGTATTTCTAATCGTTAAAACAATTTGTAATTGTAATTAGATTTTGTGTTACAAGATAAATTAATTTTAATGACAAAGCAGCGTTCAATATAATTTCTTCTTCAAGGAAATATATTGTATATTACGAAACTCTCGTATAAAAATCTGCATATAAATTATATCACATCTTTTTAACCTTTTTATACTCTATTTTTGTAGGAAAAACCAAGTTCTGAATCTGATTGAGAGATCAAATTGGCGATTCCGCTGAAGGACCAAAATAAGGAACTTCATTGCTCATGAACTGGAACAAGTGTTCGACAAGAATGAGGGTCAAAAGATCCTGATATGTACATCAGAGAGGAACTTCTCTAGAAAATGAGAATATCAGAACATATAAAGTTCGTATATGGTTCTAGGGAATTCGACATACAAAGGAAAAATTGTGAATATTTCTTTGTCAGTGTTACATGGATATGTCGATTCCGTAACTTATCCAACAGGCGATTATTTCACAGTCTTATTCTCGCCGGAGAAAAACCATGCTATTGGATCACTCATCCTAATTCGCATTTTGAAATTAAGGGGATCCTTCTTCTTCTTCTTCTTCTTCTTCTTCTTAATCTCCTTCCTGGTTTTCCGATCCAAATCAAAAGATCACAGTACCATGCGTAGTTTTGGATCTAGGATCCCGTGATAGTTTCCGCGCGACTTGAGACCTCACTTTTAACTATATTTAATGTAATGTGTTGACTTCGACGTCGTCGTGATCTCTCACGTGTGACAGGATAAAGCCGTAATCACACTACAGGCTCCCGACTCTGACTCGACTGCCAACTCTGACTGCCGGCCTATAATGGACCAATAATAATGAGACTGATTTATTGTTATTGGTCCATTATGGGTTGGCAGTCAGAGTTGGCAGTCAAGTCAGAGTCGGGAGCCTGTAGTGTGATTACAACTTAAGAGGATCCTAAACTAAAGGCCGAACTTGATCGAGGTTGATAGTGCAGACTTTTTAATTCCAAATTCGATAATAATGACATCTTTGATTCATTTCTTACATTATATTATATATCGTTCTATCTCACTCAAACGCATACGTCTGTCCTTATATAACATATTCCAGCACCATCTCGTAATCCTGTCACATATTTGATACACAATTTTCGTGCTGTTTGTCATTGTTTATCTGTACCAAATGCGTGAAGCGAAAATTTGGAAAATCTTTTTTGTTAAGCCTTCGATCACAATTTCGCAAGCTCAGGATTGTTTGTGCACGTCATACGCTTCCGGGGAAAATATCATTTGGTACGTACGACCTACAGAATTCCTTTACTAAGGGAATTATAATCTAAGGTGAAGACAGCTGTAAGAGCGGAAATAAAGTGAATTTTTAACTTTTTCTCCGATTTTCTCGTCAAATTTAGTTGATCGGTACTTTTTTGGTGCATACTTTTATTGTGTAAAAGAATTTGGTGATCTATAAAGCCAATTCGGAAAATTTGGCGATCTGTAATTGTATTTCCTGTTGGTTTAGGATCCCCTTAACTGCAAGACAAACTTTAATTACGAGTTAATATTATGTATACGTGTTTGTGTGAATAGTAATATCATTATATATAATAATATCATACCAGAATAATAATATCGTTCATTCCTACTTATTTTTTTATTTTTATTGAAATTTCATGTTTTATCTTCGACCTTGTTACAAACCTTATTGAGACAATAATCGCTCGTCTTAAATCATCGTTAATCAATAAAAAAACTAGTAAACAGAATATTAATAATGATCCTAAAAATAAAAAACCTTGGTTTGTTTTCCTATACATACCTTCAATTTCTGACAAATTCAGAAATATTACAAAAGATCTGAATGTAAGACTAGCGTTTTTTGGTAGGTACAAATAAGATGAACATAAGTACCTCGATGAAAAGAAATTGTAGAGAAATTTATAGAAATGCATTTTAAAGAGGAAAATAGAGCTTCATACTAGCGTTCCAATTTTGTCATGATATTTTTCCTAAATAATAGAATTGAAAATTGATATTTTTTCCAATATTTTTGTTATTTTTTTGAAGTGTTCTATCTGGATGAAATCAAATAACATTTAACAGACAAGCATTTTAAAGTAGACTTTCTAAGTACTAAAATGCTTTTTGAAAAAAATTGTTACGAACTTTTTCGCAAAGATTTCGAATTTTTTTGTAAAATTTTTTATTTAATTTTATAAAAAGATCATATTAACATCAATAACTAAAAAAATTCAAATTGGCTCGTAGCCCTTTTTTTAATTATTGATTTATTCTGATTGAGC